AAAACTATCCATGTTGTGAGGAACACAACAGCATGTGAGTTGTTGAAACAAATGACAGCACTGATGTCTGAGCACTGTTCTACATAAACAAACACGCCCACAAACTTCTGAGCAATTACACAAAACTATGCACACATTACTGTGAGGAGAGAGTTTGGCCAGGGCCTTTCTTATGATTTTTTTCACAACTATGTGAATGAGAAACCCTAACTGGCTTCAGATGAAGTATGAAATGACCGTCACTGTGTTTCAGATCTTAGTGCTATACGAGTTTTTCCACAACCCCTGTGTAGAACTACCAGTAACCCTTGAACTGTATGGCTCCAAAAACCTGTGTGGAGTCAGTAACATGGAAAAATATGCAAACCCAAGTGTTTAACACAAGCCTGCTGCACTTCCCTGTGTGTGTGTATGTGTCTGAGTGTGTCTGTGGTTGAGGGGTGGGCATTATGACAATGTTCCTATAGTGTTGTTTAAGGCAGCTGTGGAGTTATACTAAAATCGTTTGTTCTTATTTTCTGGTAATGTTCCTGTGAGCAGCAAGGGGAAGCAGAACAAAGACACATACAGAGAGGTTTAACCTCCCAACCTCATGTCCTGATGTCCTGATGTCAGCGCTATCACCTGAATTCAGGCAGTTTCACCTTTCTGATGGGTTCACTGTTCCAGTTTGATGCAAACCTAATGGCTCTGAACCAAACAGCTCTGCCAGTGTCTGTCTTAATCTAAATCTATCTGCCTGTCCTGGTGCATGTTACCGTACACTTGTGGACAACTGTGCTTTGACCAATTTTCTAACTGCCTTGTTAAGTTAACCTGTGTATACGAATATATAATATATTAAATTATTTGTTTTGGAACTGATTGAGTCTGTTATTTTTGGTGTGTTTTGTGTGTGAAGATCATTGTTAAATGGTGAGCTGTGTCATGTCTTTCTGCAAACACACAGGTAGCTCTGTGCTAAAGCTGTCAGTTAGAGGATGGACCACCGTCTTCTGGCATCAGGAGGAGACACGGTGTGGGCAGCTGCTGTGGTCACATCACATCGGCTTCTCTCAACACCCATTAGTGTTAGAACACGTTGATGGACCATACATGAGTGTTAAAACACGTTGATGGACAATACATGAGTGTTATAACACGTTGATGGACCATACATTAGTGTTATAACATGTTGATGGACCATACGTGAGTGTTAAAACACGTTGATGGACAATAGATGAGTGTCATAACACATTGATGGACCATACATTAGTGTTATGACACGTTGATGGACCATACATGAGTGTTATAACATGTTTATGAACCATACATGAGTGTTATAACATGTTGATGGACCATACATGAGTGTTATAACATGTTTATGAACCATACAT